TTTTCCCATCAACTGTGTCGTAAAATGGCTCATTACTCGAAGCTTTTCAACATGGTGCACCCTAATGTCATTTTGTGATCAAAAGGTGAAAAAGCTGCCTTTTCATTCCAGACATTTTTCAATTGTTTCATATAAGGAAATAAAAGTATTAAGTCTATATAAATAATAGTCTTTCACATCTTGCAAAACGTGCAAGCGGGTCACGCTATTTTTGAAACAGAATACGAAGCAGTCACGTGGTTGTGTGTAAAACAAGGCTTCGGACGTCACAGATCACGTGGTTATGGCAAAACAAATCAAGCTCCGGTACAGTGCTTTAATGTGAGATGTTTTTTTGTTTTGTTTTTTACAAGCTTCGAAGCCTCTGTGCCAAACGTCACATCACTAAATGTAAGCTTAGAACTAATTACACAAAGATATTATGCAGTGCTTTTAACATACCTAAAACGCGAGTGTCCAGATGGCCATTTGAGTTGATGCTTCTTTCGAAGGTGGAGGGTGAGAGTGTAACACCAAGAGAAGGTCTTGTCGCAAAGATGACACTTGTACCTCGGAACCATGTTGTCCTGCTGAAGACAGTAATCACACATGTTACTTTATGTCTTCACTAAATAAACTTTGATTTTTAAGTTACACTTTGATTAATAGAATGTTCAGGGGAAAATATAAGTTGATCTCTATTGACAACATTTGCATATGTAAATGGTGATTTACACTAATTTTATACATTAACAACAATAAATAAAAATTTAAAATAAATAAATAAATAAAAAGACGTCATTGATAAATGCAAGACAAAAAAGCAGAAATACAAACCTTATGTTAAAGCACTTAAATTAATCAGTAAAAATATTATTTGAACTGTAAAAGTGCAAAAACTTGGAAAATTTTCCGTTATATGCTACCGACTCAATTTCTCAGTTTCTAAGTCTTGTGGCTGTAATTTCAATGTCACAAATATTTTCTGTAGTAATCAAAATTTTGACTCAAATGCAGTCAACTAAGAGTATCCCTCCTAAAGAATAGCTCACCCAAAAATTCAAATTCGGTCATCATTTACTCACCCTCAAGTTGTTCCAAACCTGTTTGAATTTCTTTCTTCTGCTGAACACAAAAGAAGATATTTTGAAGAATGTTGGCAACCAAACAGTTGATGGATCTTATTGACTAGGGGGAAAAATACTATGGAAGTCAATGGGGCCCATCAACTGTTTCAGGTTTGGAACAACTTGAATGAATTTTCATTTTTGGGTGAACTGTCCCTTTAAATATGAAGCATGACTGAGGTTATAGCACCCTCTGCTGGCTGACCTCATGCACTCGTTTATAGTGCTGGTTCATGGTGTGGGCCATGCGTGAAGAGTATCCACAGCCCTCTACTGTGCAGTGGTACGCTGCCCCCTCATTGTGTGTTTCCATGTGTCTCCGCAGATCATGCTGGTTCTTGAAGCTAAAAGGAGACAAACCATTAAATATTAGTAATATACTCTTCAGTCCCACACTTCAGTGTATGTAGACAGTGTGCAAACTCTCACCTGCTCTCGCAGAAATCACATGGGAAGGGTCTCTCATCACAGTGACGAAACTTGATATGGATCTTCAAGGTGGAGAGGGATGTGCAAGTCATGTCACAAAGAGGACATTTTATATGATTCACTGAGGAAAAAAGAAAAAGAAAAGTTGATCTAAAATGTTCTTATATAGGTTTTAAAAAACACTGAAACTCTTGGATGAGAACAAAACTTCTTGGAGGATGGCAACACTATTGTCTTCTAAAGAGCTGCTTTATATCTGAATCAAGTTAGTATCAGAATTCGACACTAAACTTCAATCAACTTTAACTCAACACTAAACTCAACTAAGCTTAATAATGACACTAATGTCTTTTTATAGTTGCTATAGAGCTACGTTTTGTATTTGTGTAATAATATAAAAACTACAATAAATAATTTTGCAACATTAATGCTGTTATTTTCATATTACTGTGAAGTTGCTTTAAAACTATGTGTATTGTATAAAGTGACACATAAATAAATGTGTTCTTTCGTAAAACATCTAACATTTTTAGGCATGAACGATATTATGGCCAATAATCATAAGCTGAAAATGATTTTTTTTTTTATGCTACGGATGATATTAAAATTCCATTCTATTTTTCTAAATAAATAAAAAAGAACATTACAACAAAAAAATTATAATTTTAAATGCTACACATGAATTCAGGCTTTACAACATAATGGGCATTTGGGCAGTATGAAAATGGGATATTCATCCTGAGATTTAACAGTGTTATTTATGAAATTATTAGTGTTAAGAGACTGTTAGACGACAGCAATGGTAATCTAAATGTAAAAATAGTGGAAATGAGAATGCACAATTTCATATCGAATAATTTCTAATGTCAGCAGTAATTGATAATGAGGTATTGAAAAAAAAAAAACCTCTACATGAACTCACCATGCTGACGAACATGGTCTCTCAGCAGCCTCTCATTGGCAAATGCTTTGTCACAATGTCCACATGTGAGAGAATCTGCAATGAAATGTATATATAAAAAATTCAGCCAGCACCCCAGTATTATAGGAAAGGAACTAAAGACTTTGAATGGCCAATCTTAAATATCAGAGTTTCTATACTGTCAATGATTGAAGAGGAATGATGTGAAATGAACAGACCTTCCGGTTCTGCTTGCCTCTGAATATGGTCAAAGAACTTGGTATTACTGGAAAACATACAGCCGCAGGTGGGACAAGCCACCAGTCGCTCCTGCGTATGACTGCGCAGATGTTCCCGCAGACGGTACTTGATTTTAAAGAACGCATCACAGCCTACAAACAGAGCAAAAAATGTTTAGACAAATGGATTACAAACACTGGTGAAAATGTTGCTGGTTTGCAGAAAGCACCTACCTGACCAGCTGCAGAAGAGGGCCTGTTGCCGATCAGGAAGCGGCTGAAGCTCAGTGCAGTGTGCATGCATGTCAACATGACGGTAGAACCATTCTGGATTATTAAATGAACTCTGGAGACACAAAAATAATGACATAAACTCATTACATATAATGTCTATATTTCAGTAAAACAGAAGTGAGACTAATACTTACATCACAGTGCTGCCACTGACAGACAAATCCCTCAGAGACATCCGGGACTAGGCTGCTGCTATGGAGATCTTGAGTGCAACTAGGCAGTTCGGGGTGGGATTCAAGAAGCTGAATCCCGATGCATTTTAGCTTGCTGTGGAAGATGTGGAAATAGGCATGAGCTATGAGCTCACTCTGGCTTCCCATTGCCAGGAACTCACAGCCCCTCCATAGGCACGGATAATCCTCTACAAACGAGACAATATCCAATCTTATTAAATGCAATTTACATACAAATCAAATGCTGTCAAAGACACTTCATTGAAGATCTGCCTAATAATTGTCTTTTATGCATGTATAACAATCTCCTACCCAATTCCTCCATGGCATCTCCTTCCCCAAGGTGATCCTTCAAATGTAGAGACATATGATCACTCAACTCCTCCATGCTTTGACTCTTGAAAGTGCATGATGCCCACTCACATGCCACCACGATTTTAGAGACGTTTCTTCTTTTCGCCATTTTTACCTTGAAGACAGCATAAAACTACATTAATAAAAGACTTCTGAATGCTAAATGCATAAAATTTGGGAATGACAACCACATTAACGTGCCTTTACAACCGCTAAGACTTGTTTGAGCTAAGCTCATGACAAGTAAACAAACGTTCAACTACTCGTAATGTAAACAAGGTTGGGTGCTTGTGGTTTACTGCAGCATACACAAGAATATAAATCATATTACAACACCATGATACTGTCAAAGAGGTTATGAATGAATAAATTCGCTTACTCTGGAGTTAATGAGTCACGGCCTGGTTTGAAGATCAAGTGCTAGTTCAGTTCCATTAACTGGTCGTAGCTCAGAAGCGCGCGCGCACATCCAGGCATCAATGTAGAAGGGAATTTACGCAGTGTTAAAATATATTGAGCACATGGACTCTGTGCTGTAAAAATGTTTCATTGTCTAAGAAATTAAAATACATAAAACTTCATGTCCGACGAGCAGACGAGGGGACGGAGAGGAACGCGGGTAAATTGTTTGTTTGAGAGGATGGAGAAGGTCATGACGTGTGTTTCCGTGTAACAGACAAAATAAAAGTCCGGACGAATCTTTCTTTTGATTGAGCTTTCAGTTTTACTGCTGGTGGAAGCTTTCTCTTACTGTCTATGGGTGGAAGTGAAGTAATGAAATATTTGAATGTTCATGAGGTCAACAGGAAACGTTTTTAACATACAATTAAATGAAACAAATTAAAAGTCTCTTATTGGTATTATGTTAATATGTATGTAATCAATATTAACACATGTATCTATGTAATAAAATTTTAGGGGTTTTATTTATATGCTTCAAAATAAAAACAAGTGGGGGGAAATGTGCTGTACCGATGGAGGGTAAGTGATGACGTTTTTAAATATTCCAAAAAATCTGAATGGTACGATAAAAATTTATTTTTATCTGCATTCAAATGTGATCAAAAGTAGCTGGATTTAAGAATAAAAAAATGTCGTATTGTTCTTTAACTTTAAAAGATGGAGTGTTGTTCATGTGAATGTTATACACAATGAGATGACCAATTCATCCTTGCATTTGTAGTAATATTACAAGTCATTGTCTTTATTTTAACTTTTACAATATTCGTGCAGAGACCTGAATTTGGCAGCCCTATGCAGAGCCTGAGACTTGAATTATTTATTGAATAGTCCAGCTCAGCAATGTTCCTTTTCTGACACTGAAGGCCAACAGCAGCACCATCCTCAACTGTGTTTCAAGTCTGATGCATAGCATAGCATCACATGAATTTGTATTTATCTCTTTAAAATCAGTTTTCCTCTATAATATGCTTGGCTCATTTCTAGAAAAGGCTTTTCCATTAATAGATTTATCAACCTTGAAATTTTAAAGAAACAAAACATATTACAAATGTATTTGTTTAATGATTTTAATCAATTTCATTCAATGCAAGCTCACAACATACACATCACACTTAGAATTACCACTTGGACATCTGATGGCCCTATGTTGCTCAATATACAGGCACAGCTGTTATGGAAAGCATAGCTTGAGGATAGCACCAGAATGGTGTGCACAGCACGTGTAGGACAACCCAAGAGAAGCTCAGAACCAAGAGGCTGTAGATTTACACTCTCACCCCTCCAGACCACGCTCACAGAACAGATCGGGTCAGAATGATGTTTAACAGGTGACTAGGATGGGCATGCTTCTGTCTGTCAATCGCATGGACCTCATATGGTTAGCAGCATTCTTCCCAATTCAATCATCAAAATTAAATGCAAGGAAAGCAGGCAGTTTTTTAAGGGCTAGGTCAGCAAATTGTCCATATTACATTGCATAAAGCATATGAGCATCTGAATGTTGCTTTATTGAGAGCAGAGCAAGCTGTGTGTAAATATAGCATAATGCTCTACACTAAAAGGTAACAATCACACTTTAAGAGAGACCATGCCCCTGGTGACTGGCACTGTTGTTGAAAGTACTGAAATACTCATTTTGAATCTAAATCGTGTTCATTTGCTAAACATGGTGCACTTGTGAAGCTCCTACCAGCTAATTTCCAGTGTAACACTGTCACACAATCTTTAAACATGCGGTTCGAGATTTTTAGACATTCTTGTGTCCGTGAGTGAGGCATATAATATTGCTATAATCTGAATGTGTAGTGAAAAATATTATGTCTTAATGTTTAACCAATGCTATTGGTGCATCTAATTAGAGTGGTCCATATACTTCAGATGAAGTCCATAAATGAGATTGCTTGAAAGAAACAACCAGTAAATATCTTTCAATGCAAGATAAAGCAAAAACCTTATCTTTTATAATAAGGCTTATGGCCATTTGCTCAGAGGCAGCATGCAACAAGGATCAGGTAATCATCTTTGCCACAGAGAAAGCTATTGATGTACATGGAAAGGGAGCCAGATGCGGGGCAAATGCAAAGATAGATTCATAATAGACAGGGCAGTGGCCACACAGTCAAGACAAATCAAGCAGACAAGCCTTGATCTACTACAATAGGTAAAGACACTTTCAGAGTCAGGCCATTAGAGTAAGGTCATGAACATGGGGATGAGAGTCCTCTATTCCATATTATAGCCTCCTCAACCCCCCAAACACAAAAGTGCACTTAATCTTTTGCCTCGGCTAGTCTGTTGATCATCTCTTTGCTTTTCTTGGTGACCCCTCCCTCTGGCTTTGGCTCCTGGTTGCTCACTGAAGTTTTCTTCTTGGCAGCTTGACTCCCAGCGATTGGCTTCTCCTTTGCTTTTTTCACTGTTTTGCTATGGCTTGTTGTCTTTTTTGGCTTGGAAAGTGATAAATTATGCCTCTCCACCTACAGGAACAAAAAAAAAAAGAGACATTTTGGTGCATTATTCAAATTTGCATGACAGCACATGCCTATTATATATTTAACTATTTAACTGCTAATGTTCGTTTGAAGTTTTTAAAAATATTACGTTCACCATATACCCTACAGTTCAAAAGTTTGGGGTCACTTACAGTACGATTAAAAAAAAGGACACATTCAATTGATCAAAAGTGACATTACAAACATTTAAAATTTTACATAATATTGGTGAGAATAAGATACTTCTTCCAAAAATCTTTCTACATCCAAAGTTTTTAATGGTAGTGTAGTTTTTACCTAAACGCTTGGACCCTCTGAGCATTAGGAACCACATAAATAAAAAGGAAACGTGTGTAATTTACAGTAAAAACATAATCATTGGCTCTCCAGTGCAGTACATCTAAAACATCAATAAAATAATTCTTAAAATATGAATCATGTTTCAATTAGTATAGCGGCATCCAAGTTGGTTATCTTATGACAGAAATGTGTGTTAGAATGTGATTTTCAGGCCCTTTTAAAGGAGTAGTTAACTTTTGCTGATAATTTACTCACCCTCATGTCATCCAAGATGTTCATGTCATTCTTTCTTCAGTCGAAAAGAAATTAAGGTTTTTGATGAAAACATTCCAGGAATTTTCTCCATATAATGCACTTTACTGGGCACCAAACGGTTCAAGGTCCAAAAGACAACAAATCTTTCTGAACAAAAACACTGAACAAATCTTTTTCCGAGTCAATTCGTTCATTTCGTTCGTTGAATGAACCAAATAACACGAAAAAAGATTTGTTCATTTTGATGAACGAGTTCGAACAGGAGAGTCACGAACGCGGATCACAGAACAGAGCAAGGCGACCATTTGAGCTTATAAAACTTAAACTTAGTTTTTTTATTTTAAATGAGCGATCGTTTCGCTTGATAAGACCCTTATTCATCGTCTGGAATCGTTTAAAGTCTTTTGAACAGTTTGCACTGAAACTGTCTTTTGGACCTTGAACAGTTTGGTACCCAAATGCATTATATGGAGAAAAATCCTGGAATGTTTTCATCACAACCCTTAATTTCTTTTCGACTGAAGAAAGAATGACATGGATATCTTGGATGACATGGGGGTGAGTAAATTATCAGCAAAAGTTTTTTTTTTAAATGAACTACTCCTTTAAATGTAGATGATTTGTTCAAAACAAGAGGTGATTTGTTCTGCATACTCAAAATACAGTAAGAGATGCAGTTCACAAAAGTTTATATATAACATATAATATGTGACTTATCCCATATAATATGTGACTTATTTACCTATACTTTCCAATAATGGAGACTTTCTGCTATTTTGCAAGGTTGCACTTCATTCAAACACCTTGCACAATAGCATGATCGCAGTGATCAGTGAGAGCTTACTTTCGATACTAATGGAGGGGAAACCTATTAGTATCTTTTGGCATATGTTTCTGAAGCCAGTAACCTTCCATACATCATTTGCATTCAGTTACAATGGAAGCCAAATAGCCCCTCTTGATAGTGAAGATAGTTTCATGCAAAAAAAGAAAAGGCATAGTGTTGAGCAAATCCTCATTGTATTTAGTCATAATCTGTCCCACTGAGGATCTCTGTGATGGTGCAGTATGGTGAAATACTCTAGATCCATGCTGTCCAAAAGAATCACTGAACACACCTGACTACAGAACAGAGCTGCTGTCACTGTCAGAACAGTCCTACGAAAGTGAGAGAGGCAGGGGCTACATCAACACATTACATGCACAAAAACACTACAAAATTGTCCTGTTTCAACATATTTGCTTTTATATTTAAAGGAATAATTCTATTATTGTTTATTCATCCTCTAGTCATTCCAAACCTGTACGACTTTCTTCTGTGGAGGACGTTCTATTTCACAAGTGGTTGCTAATAGGATAGGATTCCGAGTTACTAAAGCTCACGGTGACTGATCTGTGAACGAATCGTCTGATATTTTTAAAGAATCGTTTGATCCACTTGAATGATTCATCATCATCCAGTTAACAGCTCACATGATGTGAAGATTATCAAATGTCAGTTTGGTTTTGTCACATGAAATTATCATATGACATCAAAAGTTTTAAAGCAGTAAAGTTTTTAAAGTTTAAATTGAACTATTCTTCAAAATGTCTAAGAAAATAAACTGTGGAATCAGTGTTGTTATTGTTAACTAAAACTGAAACATAAAAAAAAATTATTAATGTAAAAGTTTTTAGAAATGTTGCCTTAGCAACTAACTAAAATTAAAATACAATTTAAATTAAGTGTATGTTGAAGTGCTGAGATTTGTGGAAGCTTGTTTCTGCCACAGAATAAAAAAAACATTAAAAGATAATTGTGACTTTTTTAACTAAGAATCTCAGAATTTCTGAGATCTAAACTCGCAATTGTGAGAAAAAAAAGAGAGAGATATAAAATCGCAATTGCAAGTTATAAAGTCAGTATTGCGAGATATAAACTCAGAATTGTGAAATATATACAGCGAATTTAGATTTTTTCTGTTTATATCTTGCAATTCAGACTTTTTTGCAATTGCAAGTTTATTGTGTGATATAAACTTGTAATTGCACCTAATTGCGAGATAAAAAGTCACAATTACCTTCTTTTTTCAATCAAGCTTCCATAGAGATTGCTAAATTTTAAATAAAAATGTATTAAAGTTATATAGAAATATGAAAAACAACAAAACTAAAAATGGCAAAAGCACACAACAAATCAAAATATAAATAAGTACTATAATAGTTTATAAATATACTTCATGGACTGAGTAAAATGATGGGTGAACTATCCCTTTAAGAATCGACAGCATTAGACACATGTGTTGGAGCCCCATATTACAATTTCATCCCTCACAGTGTAATTACATTTTTGATGATTACGCTCATACCTGGAGTTGTTGATTTCATTGATATGGTAATAAAACCAGGCAACATGGCAACATAAACTGACGACCTGAAAAAACATCATACCTTGCTGGACTCTTTGCTTGGTTCACTGTACAGGCTTCGTATCCGACGGCGCTCCATCAGCTTGTTGTCTGTGGCCTGAGGTTTGCCCTGCTCTCCTTTAAAGGTGGAGCTGTAACTGGTCTCCAGGTTGGTCTTTTCCTCCACTAGGGGTTTGTACTGAGATTTCGCTTTGATGAGTTTCACTGGTTTGACATCTGTGTAAGCCTTGAACTCCGTCCTGGGGAAACAAACAAAGTCATTTTTTTTAAATGAACGCTAGGCTTTTATAATTATGAGAGAAGAGTAATCAAATATGGTTAATGGTTCATTGTTAGAAGACCAATAACCTTACAAAAGATCAGCAACCATGTGGCAATATACATTTACTTTATTTTGTTGACATCAATGGTGGAGGCTTTTGACTATTTAAAGAGAGTAAAGTTAACATTCAGCATAATTACTCAACCAAAACTGATGCCTTCCTTTACGGAATAAAAATATATGGGAATATACTGCAAAATATAATGGGATTTATTATATTTCCATATATGAGAGACTAGTCCATCATTTTAATATACTGCAATAAATGCATTGACCATGTATGGCTGTATATGTATGGCTAATGCATATCAAATATTTATAAATGAAGACAAAAATAGCATTACATGTAATACTCATAAAGTTGTATCCTTTATTGTGTACATAAATTGAAATATCCCACACATTCAAGGAATGAGTAACAACAGAGTAATGTGAATGAGTAACACTTTTTAGCAAAAGTGTTATTTAATGTGTTTTACTCAATATTAATGTAGGGGGATATATGTTAGTGTTTAATGTTCTATTATTTTTTGGAATTTAAAAGATTTCTGATATGAAAGTTTTCTGAGTTTTCATAAATACTTTAGTATACATGTGTGCTTGAAATCAAACACATTGTTGAACCATTTCATATATTGATTATTCATAAATATATATAAAGGGAATTATATATTCTTTTTTATAAGGGTTGTAAAGAAATCAGGACATTGATTCACATCTGTTTTATGAAAGTATACAGAGTGAGTGTGGACAAAATGATCTGATAACTCAAGAATGACTCAACATATTTCAGGCTGAAAAGCCTCAGAGGGTTTACACTGGTGACTGATGATATTTTTCAAAGACTGGATCTATATCTCTCCTTACATCTTGCTCTTACATAAGCTTCATTGATAAAATCTTCTGTTTCAGAGGCTACATGATTACAGTGATCTGATAGGCTTGTTTTTATGTAAAAATAGGAAAAGAAGCCAATAATCTGATCAGTGAGGGTTTTTTTTAATGACCAGTTTGGTTCTCCCAAATCTCAATATTTGGTTACAGCTTTGTGTCTATGTACAATAACAAACTAGTGCAAAAAATTAATCTATAGGATTAAGTCTCTTGAATGTAACATTGGCGAGACTGTATTTACAGACCCAACAAGGGGGTTGATTTTGGGTACATCATCAATATCTTAATTTAAATCCACAGAACACCTAGTTTTTTTTGTTTTGTTTAATATTTACTCAAAAGTAACAATTTTTATTTTTTTTATTTAATCAGTTGCATTGTTGAAAAATTTTGGAAATTACATTTCTGTTAATCAATGAATAACCCAGCAGACACAGAATCTTCTGGGGGGGAATCAAACAATAACATATGTTCTCTCTTTTTGGAAATAAAAAATGAGCCTTTCATTAACGTTTAGCCTGAAGAAAACATACAGAACATTCTCTAATGGGTTATATAGGTTTAATTTTTACAGCCATAAATCTTCCCAGAATGTTCTGTGAGCCAAAAATTGTAAAGCGTGAATCTGCAAATAATCTCAAAACAGCTCATTTTTGTATGATTAGGCTAATATATTATTCTAATATTAGACTATTAATGATACAAAAAAAAATAATAAGAAAACATATGAATACTGACATGAGCTTTCTTGATCAGGATTATTTGACAACAATCAGAAAGTTATTAACTGCATAAAAATGAAACACTTACCTATATGAGCTTCCAGATGTGACTTCCTGCTTGATCTGCCTGTTGAGAGCATCTGCAGCTGACCTCCCCTTCCCCTCCACAGTAACATTTTGCTCCAATTTGTTCCCCTCGTGCTCTTTTTTGTCTAACTTCTTTTTCCTTTCTTTACTCTCTTTTTCATGCTGCTTTTCCTCAATCTCACATTTTTCCACACCGGTTTCAACCTCAGAAGTGGCCTGCTCCTTTTTGGAGAACTTGACCTCCTCGGCCTTACAGGGCGCCGCAGAAGTGGCTTTGGGAATCCATGGATGGTCTCCTTTTTTCGGAATGGGCCACGCTTTATAATCTTTCTGGTACTGAGTGACGTTGTTGAAAGGGGTCTTTGATGGCTGATAGTCGTTTCTGGGTTTGCAGCTTCGTTCCGGACGCACACTCCAGGCTTTGAAATCCTCGCGCATCACAGAAGCGCCTGACCCATCTTGAGATGATGATGCTGCGGCATCAGGAGCGGCGTGAGTCGCTCTGGCCGACGCCTCCTGCAGAGCGCCATGGGGAGGTTGAGCTTCTGTAGTGACCGGCTTCTGTGATATTATTGGTTTGGGTTGAGGGTGCAGATGTTGCACCTCGGCCACGTCTGAATACTTCGTGAAAACCAAAGGCACTGCAATGTCACCTTTGTCCAACTCACTCCAGAAGCGGTTGATGCAGCAAGCCCTGGTTATACAGGGCCATGCCATGATCGATAACGACGAGGCGAAGGCTTGAATCTGAAGAGAAAAAACTCAGAAATGAGGAATACAACGCACACAATCAAGATTGTAACAGGAGAGCGATGATTCTTCCTATTAACGCTCCTTGTGATGCGAGAAATCCGTCCAGGTCCAGAGACTCTTGAAATCCTGTAGCCGGGCGCACGCGCTTGCGCACTTGCGGCTAAGTAATTTCGACGCGATTGTTTTCTTTCAGTTACAAATGAAATGTTTCTTTAGAGTGAAGCGAAGACAGTGTCCAGGCGACTTCATTGACAGCTGTAAGACAAAGACACCGCCCCGGTCGTGATGTGCGGAGTGAACTATCACCTGCAGACATCAGCGTCTGGACAGCATCGGGTGGAGACGCCGCTCATTTAACCATTTCAAGACTGACACACATCGCGCATCCTCCACCCACTGCTTCACCATTGCAAAGGCTACATGATTCTGGAACTTGTTGATCTGAAGACCCGTATGTATTGCATTGGTTACTAGGAGTCTAAAAACATCAAATTTATTAAGTAGGGCCTATTTGAGTAAAAACACACCATAAAACAGATTTGATTCATGCAATATTAAAATAGTCCATTATTGATGCATTTTTAAGATTGTCTTATGTCATGAGCACAGTATGGTAGTTAAATCGAATTATTTTTATGATGAATTAATGGTTATATAAATACAAATGTATTATTGTAGCCAAATGTTTGAAGCTTTCTATTGGGTACAAGTACAACTGATCAATTAAGCAAATTTTGACTCTTAGTTTGTCAGCAGTTACAATTATGACTATGAATAAAACACATGCTTTCACTTTAACTTTTTAAAAGCTCCAGTTTTATTGGTCAATTCAAATACGATATGCTCTCTTAGTTTGTGGAAATTTAGAAGTTAGTGATGGTTGGCATGCTTTTTCCAATTTGATTTAAATGCAATATTCTGTGAAAATACCAGCACTTACAACTGAGTGCATGTGTTTTTGTAATTTGGGGGTAATATTGGACCCACCCAGCATTAATGAAGCTACATCCATCCAGTTTCTTTTGTTTCATTCGTGCATGTGTATAACATACCATCTAGTGGTACATGCAATGATAGCAGTATGTGTTGTCCATGTGTGTATTGTGTAGCCCATGGGGTGGGGCGCTCTCGCATGGTGAGCTCAATGCAGCTTTTGCATCCAGCTAAAGTGATTGAATGGCCAAATTGGAAAGTATAACACCTTACCTCAATTAAAATATATCAGATATTCCAGAAGTAGACTTAAAGTGACAAGTGAGGAAAAAAATGATTTCAGAAACCTTTCAAAGTGATATAGTATGCACACTGGTTGGCCTGCTGTTCAGTCTCCTCAAATTTCTGCCCTTTTGCCTTTTCTTTCTAATCCGCAGCTGAATGATAAGACAGTATGACAATACAACATTGTACTTGTTGCTGTTCTTTGTTTTAAATTTACATGCGCATGAATACAAATCCACTTGAATCTTCCTGTAGGCTAAAGTGCCCTCTATTTGAGATTTGTATTAAATCGGCAGCAGCTTCTTGGTGACTGTATGACATTTTTTTTTGCAACCTCTCATACATAAGTCTTATTTATTCTAATTTTATTCAACAATGAATCTAATAAGTAGTTACAACTGGCATGATTTTATACAAATGCTGCTCTCTTGAGGACTAAAGTTGAATCAAATACAAAGAGCAACAGATGTTATTCATGCAATATTATGCTTAAACATTAGTTTACAATTTATGTTATGCATTTAGAATTTGCATTGAAAATAAAATTGGTTTTATAAAGTTTACGTAATATTTATAATGAAAGACAAACATGATTTAAGTATAGGCATGATGTCAACAGGCTATGCTATTAATGATGACAGATGGCAAAGATGTAGTCACGTATTTTTGTTGTGATTAACGGCATTAGTTAACATAAACTAACAATGAAAAACAATGCATTTATTAATATAAGTTAATTTTAATTTAAAAATGTACTTATACGTTATTTAATAAACTTGATCTAAGACGAACTAAAAATAAACAAACATATTTTTATTAAGTAACGCTAACAAAGATGGATAGATATGAAACAAATGTTTTGCTAACGTTAACTAATGGTACCTTACTGTAAAGTGTTGCCAAGTAAATATATACTTGATATATATAATAAAGTGGCAGTACAACAAATTTACATAATTGTAGAATACAGCATCGAAAGTGTTTTTATTTTATTTATCCTTAAGAACAGATTATACAAACACAAACTTGTCTTTAATAGTTGATTTCCAATGTATGTCAGTCTTGTATCTCAGTCCAGCTTCACACTAGTCAGTCAAGCAAACACAACAAAGCAAGACCACATATTGATGTCGATACTCACATGGTGAATCTTATTGACGGCCCTCACAAATGTAAAAATAGTTATTATTTCTCCGGGGGGGGGGGGGATCTCTTATATTTCTCCAGGGGGGGGGGGGGATAAACAATTGGCATCATGACGAAAAGCAAAGGGAACTTACAAAATGTTATGCAAAAATCACATTTCCAGCTTGATACTTAGAGAGTCTATATGTTTTACCGGTTAATCACTCTCACCTTCTTCTGGGTAACTTTTAATATAACACTGAACCATTTCTTCCAGGTCTGTCTTTATATGGTAATTGATGTTTAGCCCAGCTAGATTCTTACACCTTTGGTTAACCGCAGTGTCTGTGAGGTAAGCCTGTAAGCGTCTCTGGGCAGTTTCACCGTGACTCCCATCAAGCTTCAGCACCGGCAACGCGGCTAATATTTTCAAAAATGCATTAACATTTGGGAAGAACTTCACATCGGAGTGCTGAAGGGTTTCGTGAATGGTGCATGGCAAGCTCACTTCCTTGCCTCTGTGTTTCCATTTTATCCTCCAACAATGCAGTTCGGCCGGCAATGTGTCTGGATGGGGCAGATCGCCCCTGTACATGTCCGCGTGGGTCTCCTCGGAAGTATTGAACCTCATTTGGCCCATGACCGCGGGGACAAGAGACAAGCACTTGAGCGCCTTGAGATGATTCTCAGAGAAGATGTCCTTGACCTCCTGCGTGATGTACTCCATAACCGGCAGCGTAAGATACTCTTTAAAAAATGACTCCGCCTGGATTTCCGTGGTCTTCACTGCCTGTTGCTTCCGAAGAAACAACCTCGGGACTTTGACGGGGATCTCCATTGCAGTCGCCAAACTGACAGCCTCTTCAAACCAGAATTCGTGGTATACTTCCAGATTGTCCGATACCTCGTGCAACGAATGCAGTACCGCTGTTAGGCTGTTGGCGGCGAAAAACACATCAATGGTCTCTCCGTGTAAGTTCTTACCAAAAGCCCTAGTGAAAGACAGGGCGTTCTTCAAAATAACCAAAGTCACGATGAACTCAAAGTCCGCCAAGGCCTCGGAAATAGCATAAGCATCATTGGTGATTTGGTCGTTCCACTTCAGATCCTCATTGTCGTGTATGCTGTCCATGCACAGCAGAAGCGGCTCCATCAAATCGACGGCCATCTCGAACACGTTGTGAAGATCGGTCCAGGATGAACGCGAGCCCTCTTTGAGAAGGTTTTCTTTGTCCGTGTCTCCCCGACACAGAATAGAGATAGCGTTATCGAGTTCGGATTGCAGCAACGGAGACGTTTTAAAAAACGCATTAGTCTTTTTCAGAACTGACATCACGACTTGCACTCCGGTCAGCGGCATGCCGTTAGCAAGATGAACATTGAGTGCACAGGTGGACGTGGGCGTGATCACCGCCATGGGATATTTCTCCTTGAGCTGGGCACCGATGACCTTCATCTTGGTCCCAAGTATGCCAGATCCCGCATGCGCTTGTCCTCTGCAGTGTTCCATACTCAGGCCCCATCCCTTCGTCAACTGAGTCTCCAATCTCTCGGCGACAGCAACCTCCTCTCCTTCAAATGAGAGGAACTCTATGAATTCTTCTCGAAGAGTGTTGGCTTGGTCTACAAAGCGCAGGAATAGAGGCAGGTGTTCTCCCTCTGGGAAGTCCACTAACTCCCCTGTGACGATCGAGAAGAAGCGACATTCTCGGACTTGTTGAAGGATCTCTTCACGGACGCATCTCTCGCAGACCTCCAGCAGCTGCTTCTGCTGAACAGCCGGGCAATAGTCCTCATTAACAGCCGCCGCCTCGAACCTCCTTCGAAGAAACTCATCGCCCGCATTGATACGGCTCTCGATTAGTGATTGAAAGGTACCTGTCGTAAAGAGCCGTTCCTCCTCCTCCTCCTCAGAGCGAATCTCATCATCTCTTGCATTGCAACTGAAAGAAAAGTTTTGCCTTCCCATCAAAACCATGATTTCAAACGACGATCTTAAGAACTCTCTCAGGTCTTTTTGCTCGGGCGTCAGTTGAGGAACGTCGTCAGTGGTCTCGCTGTCATCTTGAGCATCAGAGTCTTTTTTCGAGAGCAGTTGTTCAATTGAAGACTCCACTAAAGAGATAACACAAACATTAATCAGTTAAAGGAGTAGTTCACTTTTATAAAATCTTTTGCTGATGATTTACTCGCCCCCATGTCGTCCAAGATGCCCATGTCTTTCTTTCTTCAGTCGAAAAGAAATTAAGGTTTTTGATGAACATTCCAGGATTTTCTCCATATAATGGACTTCAATGGGAACCAAACGGTTCAAGGTCCAAATGAGAGTTTCAGTGCCGCTTCAAAGGGCTTTAAACGACACCAGACAATGAATAAGGGTCTTATCAAGCGAAACGATCAGTCATTTCAAAAATAGATAAAAAATTTTAAGTTTTATAAGCACAAATGCTCACCTTGCTCTGTTCTATGATGCTCAGTTTGTGACTCTCCTGTTCGAACTCGTTCATCAAAATGAACAAATCTTTTTTCGAGTCATGACTCGAAGCGTCTTAGATAAGACCCTATTCATCGTCTGGTGTCGTTTAAAGCTGCACTGAAACTCTCATTTGGACCTTGAACCATTTGGTTCCCAATGAAGTCCATTATATGGAGAAAATCCTGGAATGTTTTCATCAAAAACCTTAATTTCTTTTCGACTGAAGAAAGAAATACGTGGACATCTTGGATGACACGGGGGTGAGTAAATTATCAGCAAAAGTTTTTTTTTAAAGTGAACAACTCCTTTAATTAAGGGTTAAAAGTCAGACGGTCAATATTACAAAATAAATTGGGTAATCAGAACCCCATCGTTGATCCAAACAAAACAAGTAGAAATTTGTCTTGTGTATTATCTTACAACCTACAACGTAATTGGCCTAGCAAGAAGAAAAACACTTTAAAAATGGTTCACTACACACAAACACTTTCACTTCAACTGAGATCAAGATGCGGTTGCGTTTATATGAACAAGAGTGATACTAGACACATGAAAGTAGCGAAGGTTTCAGTAACCCAAATTAGCAGAGTGACAGCATCGTTGCCATTGATGACAGTAAATATGAAAAATATCTGACCGCTGTATATAAATAACAATTAAAAAAGTCAATTAATAATCATTTATGTCTTACTTACATCGTCTTTCTTTGATTTTCCGAACCTCTTCATCTGTCTGAGGAAAACAGGAATGAAAAGTGTCATTTTATATTCCAAGTTAACAATTCAATTACATACAGCTTAAGAAACATAGAATAACTATTAAGCTGATTTATAATCTTACATTTACTGATATATCACTAATAATGTGAAATATTAAGTATAATATATTTATGAGAACACCTGAAAAAAAAAAAAAGTATTCTACCAGAACTTTGATGCGTTTGCGATGTCTGCTGTGAGGATTGCCGAGGTGGCTGGTTAAATCAAAAATCGTGGGAATGGCGGTGTCTCTTAGTACTGTCCTATAAGGGCTCTGAAAAACACATTCAAAAGAGAATACTATTAATACCATTTAGATAATATGATAAATATTCAGATAACTCATTGCTATTTTGCATTACAGTTTTGCATATCATGGCCGGTTCAAAGTGTTTTGCACACAGTCGGTAGTGCTTGTTCAGCTGATCAGGCGTTTTCTCCTCCAGATCTGCACGCCGACAGTTCTCCACCCACAACCTACATCTGCGCAAACACACAACAAAGCATGTTCAGATTTATGAAATCAACAATTATTCATTTCTTGCAAAGCATTTTAGTTTGACATTTATACGGAAGTGTTTTGTTGATGCTGTTGATGAAAACTACGGCATGAGTTTTTTTTCCCTCTCCAATTCAAACACTGGATTTTTTAACAATTAACAATGTGTTTTTGCATTTGAAATTGTGACAGATTAAGTTTGCTACTTAGGAGAGGCAAAAATCTGCAAGAAAACACTACAGTATTACTAATATAAGCATATTTAATATATTCTTACGTAAATATTTGTTCCACTAAACATGTATAGGAGGATCTCATCTATCTTCTATAGCACATACAATATGAAAAAGTTTAGCAAAAGAGTAATGAGCAGAAATTCAATTCAGAAGCACATGAATTGTCTTCATTGGGGACTTAAGTTAACTTCTCTTGACTAGTTATTCAAATATTTCAGCAAATTACATTACAGACATAATAGCATAGGTAATAAATAGCAGAAGTTAGTCGCACTGATCAGTGTCATCAACATATACTAACTGCACAGAGAAAACTTCATTTCCCAGGAAGAATTAGTTTCATATCAGTCGTCATAAAAAAAAATTAATTACATTTAAACAAAACACGGTAGTGATAGTGTTATGAAGCTTTAAAAAAAAGTCATACCTCTCCGGATCCCTTGGAAACCTAAAGAAAGCTAAATCGGACTGGGTGCTTTTCCTGGTACAGTTGGGAGCGGCACAAAAATTTGGCATTGTATGTCTATTTAAAACTTCATGCGGCCTTCTAGAGACTATTAGTTATGCCGTCATTAATATAATCTTTGCAACATTCCAGAAATGAAAAACGCGCGCAAGTAAGGACCACCAGTATTGTTGGCGTGCCAGCCCATAATGCAATTCGTTTCAATCCCACCCACAATGCATCAGCCATACTGAAATGAACAAATCAGTTTTGATTCAGATATCGTTTCAATGAATCTTTTGAACCGGTTCATAAAACCGGTCTGAATCGTTCCAAACGATTCTCGCGTAATATATACATAATTGGATTTTAAATAATCGTTTTTCAGTCTCCAGTCTCACTTGTTGAGAGTCTGTAAGTAATTTTCCCTTTTGAAAATCAACCTTAGTTTTGATGTAAATGCACAAAGTTCACCAGAGAGAGTCGAAATCATTCAATATTATGAAGCTCAGGATCCTCTCCCTTCGCGCTGTGAATCCTGTAGATGGCAGCAAAGACCCGGCATTTTTATTCCCAATAAAATTCCATGGTGTTGGCTGCAGAGCGAAATGACGTTCAGCTTCACCTCTGTGTGGACCTAATAGGTTTAGGGATTACCAGAGCCATATATTGAGATTACAAACCCCAACTCAGTCCAGAGAGAGCTGAACGTCAAGCACCCACCAAACATAGATATTAGTTACGAATATGTGACAATCGAGAACAATGTTAATATAACTACCGTGATTACACATCATTTACTATTAATTCATATTGAATTGGAGGTAGATGGGCTACTAAAATAAATGAGTGGTCTATAAAACTATATCGTTAGAATATCTAATTTCTGAATACTCTGAATGGATGGCTGAATGGCTCTTTAAAAATGGATCATGAGATTTCGTAACTACGTCATGGCGTAAAGAATCGCTCAATCTGAACCGATTCTTTGAAACGAGTTGTCCAAAAGAACCGATTCGAGATTATCTTCACTAGTAATATGAACGACAAATAGGCTATTTAAACACCTACATGTCACGCGTAGAGACACTAAAACATGTTATCATAAAATCACAATTTACCGCGTTGTACAGATTACAAAACAGGATCTCTACACAATGGAGTTGAACTACAGAATAAAAGGACTGCTCTTTGCTTGCATTTTAAAAATGATATTTATTTCACAATTAATCCCTGCGTAATGTATCCAGAATTCAACACGGGACATTGTGAACACTGTGACTTCGAAGCAAGTTTATGTTAGAAAATGTTGGGCTCGTCCGGGATTTGAACCCGGGACCTCTCGCACCCGAAGCGAGAATCATACCCCTAGACCAACGAGCCGCGCATCCACTAGAAGAAATACCGCACTATAAACAATGGGATATGAAGTTCACCTTTTTGTTACCACTTTTTAAAGCTGATTTGAATATGTCTGTCGAACTTGTCGCAAACCTATTTATATGCACTGTTTATTGATTTGTTATTCTATCTACGGCAACCATTTTAACACGCATTAACTTTTCTCGTTTAGCAGTCCTCTATATTAGACGTATTTGAAAGTTAGTGTTGTTGAAGCAACAAGCAAGATAAAGAAAAAAAGCCAGGAGCGCGTCAATTAAGTTATTTTTTATATATCATACATAAGACTGTTTGAATATAATACAAAGGGCATTTTCATATACACAGCAAAGTCTTGACTAGATCTTACAATCTGTGGACACTTATCCTTTTCCCCATGCTGTTCAATTATATAGTGCATGTTGCATGAAAAGGGTCAAGAAAATCTGAAAAGAAAAAAAATCAAAAAGGCAGAAGAATGTTTAATTAAAATCCATGATCTTGTGAAACAGTGACATGTAATGCATTTAAGAGAAAGGGAAGAAACAGACCTAGCAAAACCATGAGCATTATAAAAGTGTGGACATACATGCGTCATACCCTGTGAAAAGATTCTTTCGGTACAAGTTATAAGCCCTACCTTTAATGTTGTCCTGTCAAATGCGTCTGACTAAAAGCGATTTTGGTCCGCAATGACCGAGTAAGACAAGAAGGGTTAAAAAAAACAAACACTAAATAGGTAAGCAAAAACATGGCAATGTAATTGACATACCAGCAGGAGCAATGTAGTGAGTTCTATACTTCCTTTATTTAAAAAAATAGAAATATATACATAAATTCTATTTCAACTATTAAAAAGGGGCTGCATTTCATGAAAACTGCGCTAAATCAGATCTCATTTAGTAACAGCTGAAACAGGTGCACTCTTTAAAAGTTTCTGTAATTTTTAGGATTTGATTTTTGGAATGTTTTTGTCAACGTCATCAAACTGCATTCAAATGTTTTTATATATAAAAAACACTTTTAAATCCAGCTAACATTCAGGTAAACCTTCTTTCCGATTACCATTAGCCGTTGTGAGATTTGTAAATATACCAAACATGACTGGCTGAAAGTGATGTCTTCGTGAAAGGAAAATCTGCACATATTCTGGCAGGATTTTGTCCAACTGTCTGTAAATAACTGCTAGATTGAGAGAAGTAGCAAACAAGGTTTCTTTGAAGAAATGAGAGCAAGTGAGAAGCTAGGTGGGGGTCTTGGGGAGCTCACAACCTCTAATTTAAGAATCAGAGTGAGCATAGCTATCCTTAACATGACTCAAGTGACTATAAACATTTATCTTCTTCAGAACAACATGCATGTGCCCAGTGTCTGTGAGACAGTTTCCCTTTGAATTGTACATCTGAGGCAAGCATCAAACCAATCACTTGATAACAAATTCAACTCAGACTCAGAGGTCACAGTAGCTACAGTAGACTGCCTGAATAAATAAATTGAAGTAGCCACTTAGATTTAAAAAGGTAGAAATTAGCATGTTCATCAAATTAGGTATAAAAGGCAGCATCACTGACTGATAGACCAGGTAAATACAAAACAAAACACTTTTCTCTCCTCAGAATAATTTGTGATCTTTCAGCTACTCTGTAGCCTGCAGAGTAACCGTCAGAGTCCTTTCCCTCCCCTTGACGGGAAAAACGAATGAAAATCGGGGAGGTTTATCCATATAATTTCAGCATTTTGTTAACATTAAAACAAAGTAGTTCAGCAAAAGTTCCAGTTTGAGAGAGTATACAGACTAAAATGGACGTTGATGAACCTTGGGCTGAAGTGGTGAACTGCTACATTATTTCTTACAGACACCTAGTGCTATAAAAAAAACAACTGCTTTGGTATATCAAAAGAAAGAAAGAAAGAAAGACACTAATAAAGAAGAAAAACTAATTTGTGTAAAATTCACAGCATAATTCAAGAGGAGAAAAAAGGCAGTCACATAAATCTCATTACGTCTTCTGTGTTCAACACAAAGAGGCAAATTTATGCAGGTGTTTTTCAATGGGAACCACATGCTTGACGGGAATTAAAAAATGAAAAAGTAACAAAAAGACAATTAATGGGAATGAATACCTTCTATGTGAAATCCCACTTCAGCAATTTTAGGAAGTCATGTAAGGGACATTTGAACAAGACCCTGCAATTTGGAGTCCCTTAAATGAGAAATCTTTGCTAAATAAAGGCCTCTGAATAACCATTCTCGTTCACCTTCCCTAACCAATTAAGGACTCTTTAAATGTTAAAAATAGAGGACAGCCATCATCTCCATTTAATGATAAAGTCCAGCTCCTTTTCAGTCAAGGTCCAAAAGTCATAAGGCCAAAGGGTTCTCAACAGCAGCCCCAGATCCACCTGGATCCGGATCTGTCCCCCCACCCCACCCCCCGTCACTCCTCAGCACACCTCCTCCTCCTCAGTTGCTGCACGTAGTCGAGGCGGACTCCAGGCCTGAAGAGTACTGCACCTGCCTGTCTCGGGCCCTAACAACAGCTCCTCCCCGCCGCTAGGCCAGCGCTCGCCACCGGAGCTCTGCAGCTTTGTGCCCCCTCTCGAAGAGTTACACGATACCGACAACACGAAATATCACTGCAAGTACTGCTTCCTTGACACGCTACAGGTTTAAACACACAGCTCTTTAGAGAAGTTTCACTTAAAGGGTAAATAAAAGAACGACCAGCCAAATTATAAATGTCCAATGTTTCACTTGTTTGAACTAAACAAATGGTTTGCATTGCTTTACATATAAAAAGCTGTACGACAGCTCACAGATCTGAAATGCTCACTGTATTGAACAAGTTAAATGAAATCTCCTAGTTTCCCATGTAACAGATGGTAAATAAGTACTGTATGCAGGTGAGTGAATCGGCAGATGGATGTCTCAGTTTCACTACGGTTATTTGCAGTTTTACTAACTTGTCTAGAAATCGACAACGTAAGAGGATGGAAATACATATATACTTTTTTTAAATACTCTTCAATTTGTAGCGGTTCAGTGATATCTCCCCTCAGAAGTGAGCAGCTTTTATTCTCTATGCACCTTTTGAAAAACAGGAGAAAAAGAAAACACCACCATAAAAAAGGAAGAAATAAAAACAAAAAAATAAAAAACAAAATTCACACAGAAAAACAAACCCATTTCAGCTAAAGTCACGAGCTGGCCATCGAGCTCTGCTGAACACAGACTCCAGTCATTGGAGAATCTTCCCTATCAATGCCTTGTCTCATGCCCAGGTGTCCCTCTGCTATAAAGTGACCAGTTCCTGTGTTTGTGGCAACAGGGTACGTGGGATGTCCAGCCATACCAGTCTCTTGGCGAGGATTTGAGAAGGCACCCAAACCCATACTCATACTCAAACTTCCGTTTTGGCTAAAGTCCAGGGTGTTGGCAGGAAGGTGGCGAAGCTGGTAAGCCTGGTTGCCGTGGTTTCCTGTGGAAGAGGAAGATGTGGAGGAAGAGGATGCAGAGGAAGACAAGGATGTCATGGACAGATGACCGTGCACCACCTCCATGGAATCCTGGGTGGAGGCGCTGTTAGTGGGCGAGTTGTAGAGTCGCGGCCGTGGTCGCGTTGCTATGACTTGTCCGTGGTGGTGGTGATGATGATGATGGTGATGGGGGTGCAATGCCTTGGGATGCTGGGGAGGCACATGAAAAGTGGTTTCCTGGACTGGATGAGTCTCTACAGTGACAGGTTCTGGTCCAACGATTCCAGGCCATACTACTGGTGGATGATAAGGCTGTCTCGCCTGCACAAACAAGGTAAATCAGAAAAAAAAGAAGAAAAAAAAAAGAA